AATGCATGGATTTAAGAATGTACTTTGTTTTGTATAGGATCCATTCCCACTAACATTCTGCTTCTCAGTGAATTAGAAGCAAAAGAGTTATATGTTGGATTCTGATATTTTGCCAGTCACATCTATTAAAATAAGATCCTTATAAAACTCAATGCACACATTAACCTATACATTATAGTGTGAAACAACACAACAGAGGTCCATTCACTAAGCTGCCGTAGGCAGCCGAGTGAATGACCGACCTGAAGTGAAGTGAGCCGAACACTGTTCGGCTATTCACTTCAGGATGGTACGGCTGATTTCAGCCGTACATCGGCTTGCTTCACATGGCTTCGGGTCGGCCGAACATGCTCAGCATGTTCGGCCGACCCGAAGTGCAGAAGGAGTTTGACTCAGCAGATCCAACATCTGGATCGGCTGAGCCGAACCTCCGGCAGGCTACTCACTGCTGTTCGGCCTATTCTTGAAGATGCCGAACAGCAGTGAGTGAATAGCCAAATGCCGCTGAGCGGCATTCGGCTCGGCTGTTCTGCTCGGTCCCTCAGAACAGAAAAAGAGTTAAAAAAGGTTAAAAAAAAAGTAAATAGAAAACGATTGTGCGGAGCTAGCAGTGACAGCTAGCTTTTTCTGGGTGCTCTGGTTTCCTTTCATAATGCACCAATATACTGCTTTAAAGGGCAGTACCTGTTATAAATGTTGCTATGTACGCTTTTAAGTACTATGTAATAAGTAGGTAGTATATTAATATAGAAAATATTACTGTAGGTTAGAGACCCGAGACGGTTTGAACTGAGAGTTTGTGTCATAGTTGCTACCATGTGAAAGGTTACCTTAGCCAGACCAGTATTGCAGTAAATGCAGATAGACGGCCGCAGCTGAGGTATATCTTACATAGTATCTGAATGGCTAATGTGATTCTATTGTATACACAGTTATTTGCTATTTTTCTCCAGTTCATTTCTCTGTTATCTTAGTACATAATTTGTCTAGTAGAGCTTTATAAAGCCCTACAAGGTGTGCTGGTGTACAGTGGATCCATCACGTGTGGTTCATCACAGCAGTGAGACAGAAGTACCCGTTTATTCCAGTGGCTCCTTAGGAGTCGAGCGCTGCACTGGTATACATAAAATAGTCTACAAGGTTGAAGTGGACACAATTTACATAGTTTTGTAATTAAATATTTGAAACAAGCATATAACAATTAAACACACAACAATTTTAGGCAGATGCTCATTTATTACTCCCATTTAGACACCAAGCCTGTTTTTCTTACAGTTCATCAAAGTGTCTTACAGTTTCCTTTCCCCTTTAGGTTCTGGTGACACAAAATTCCAGGCTCATTCTTTTAGTTGCTTCTAAAGTCCACCTACATTTTGTCATGTCCCTGACATGTTGCAAAAACGTTTTGTCAATCTAAATAGTCATTATTTGATGTAGCTACTGAAGCTAGATTTACTTTTGAGGCAAGGTTGATGTGATGTAATGTGATAATGAGCTATGACCAGCTGGTCCACCACTACTTTCTTCTTCATACACAAACTGCTTTATATATATATATATACACACATACATACATATACACATACATACATATACACATACATACATATACACATACATACATATACACATACACACAGTTTTCCCAATTGATTACATAAGTGTTAACCCCCTTTGCTGTTTAAAACTCAAAATAGGCATTCATGCAACCAACTGAACACAAAAGAAAAGAAGGTTCACATTAAGCACTGCTAAATCATCTGTACTAAATACTGAAGCAGCAGATCAAATAATTGTTATTAGTTTTGCTGCTTTAGTATCTGGTGGGGACATCTTTAGCAGATTAATGCTTACCCATGTAAACTTGCTATTGGACTATGGATACAACATATCAGCGTTCTTTTGGTAATTGTTCACCTGCTGACTGCTAGTGTTAAAAAAAACAGTGGTGCATTTTTCAGCTATATCTGGATACTATTTTTCTGTTCCACGTATATACTTTAGACAGTTGTCCTGATCACCCAGTCGGACATTGGCCGAACATTTTCTACATGTTCTATTGTGTATTTATACACAACATTGTTTTAGTTTAAAGTTAGTAATAACAATACAGTACAATGCTTTTGTTGAATTAGTTGGTGTTTTATATAATATGAAATTCTTTTGAAGACTGATTTATGCACATTTTGTGTGGTACACTAGTTCATTGTCTGCAACAGATTTAAAAAAAAAATAAAAAAAGCAAATGTGTAAAAAAGGGTTTCTTCCATGATCAAACCAAAATGTAATTTTCTAGGCTAAACACGAAATGTTATGTGTGGAGAAAATCCAACACTACTTTTCACCCTCAGAACACTGTCCTCACACTGAAAAATGGCAGTAGCACCAGCATGTTGTGAGAATGCTTTTTATTTTTAGGCATTGGGAAACTGGTCAACATTGGGGGCAGGATAGATAGGGCCACATACAAAGAAATTCTGATATTCTAGAGAAAAACGTGTTTCATCCTTCTAGAGACCTAACCCTGAGTTGGTGGTTCACCTTTTAGCAGGATATTGAGCCTAAACACATAGCAAAAACCACACTGGAGTGGTTAACAGCCAAAAACCTGAATGCTATAGGATGGCCCAGTGAATGGGCAGACTTCAGTTCAGTAGAAAATCTGTGTGAATGCAAGACTTGGAAATTGTTGCTCACCAATAGTCTCCATCCAACTTGCAGAATGAAAATTTGATGATGCTGGATCCAGATATACAAAGCTGGTGAAGCAATTGAAGCAGTTTTAGTGGCAAATAGTGGTTTTGCAAGGCATGGTCTTGGGGGAAGAGGATACTTATGCAATCAACAAATGTCTGTATTTTTGTTTACCTTTTTTATCGCTATAAAAATATTTTGCACCTTCAAATTGCTAAATTTACTTTAATGCCACTTGCATACTTGAAGTCAATGTGAGCGGCTCTGTATAAGGCATGTTTAAAGAAAGTAAGGCTGTGGTTTGTGGTTTCCATTCTGCACTTGATTGTCAACTGATCCACCACTGGAGCTAAAGTAGCAAATAATCTAAAACTTTTATTATACAGGATTTATACAGCGCCAATAGTTTGCACAGAGCTTTACAATATAAGACAATATAAAACTATTTTTGGGATCACATGTGATGCTCCCTAGCTTTGCCACAAATTTCAACCTTCAGAAAGTTGAAACCAACACAGACATTTCAGAGGCCTCCAGTAGTGGATAAGGTGGCGGTGGGGAGAGCTATAAAAGTATGGCACTGTATGATGCTTCTACCAAACTGCAGCATTGCTTTTCTTAATTGAAATTCAGTGAGCATTGTTTCAAGTTTGTAAAAAAGGTGAATATTGAACTTATGCCTGATAATCAAAGGGCAATCAGTTAACAAGTAAAACCCAATGGTAAACTGCTAAACACTGAAACCATGCTAAAGTTTCAAACGCCCTCAGCTTACCTTAAATTCAATCAAGGGAAATAATGAGTCTACTATTGCTGACCTTAAAAGAATACTAGTTGCCTGGCTGTCCCTGGTTTCAATACCCAATACTTCAGGTCAGTATGAGTGACTGACCAGCCACAAGCATGCATAGAAAAAAGCCAAAATGTAATCAGAACTCCTGATCTGCATACATATTGCAATTCAGCGCTTTTCTTTCTGACTTCTTTATAATCCACTGTACCTGATTCTGCAGAGCACCACACATGTGTGGTGGGGATAGGGTTGTTTCTGTACTTTGCTGCTTCCTCACACCCTGCTTCTTTATCACCAAAAAAAAAAAAAATGAACCTTTCAAAGCAGGTTTAAATCTGATTGGTGGACATAAGAGAAACATCTTAATACTTAAAGATAAGCCTTCTGCTTGTGAAAAAAAGCAAGGGGCTTGTAATGCGTGTTTTAAGTAACACCTCATATTCAGTTTAAAAAGGTCAGATCAATAGATAACATTAGATAACTGACAAAGGAGAATGGTAAACTAACACAGCTATGCTGAGAAAAAAAACTAAAGCTGGATATACACTGCTCTATGTCTTTTTGTTCATCCCGCGGGCAGAATGAAAAATAGAGCAAATTCCTCCATTAATGCTACAAGCATGTTGATTGAGGAATCCCTGCTGTTACTTTTGTATTCTGACAGCGGCCGCAGAATACCGAAACAGAGGCGGCAGCTCATTGGCTCATTTAATTTATCATTTAGACGAGGTATACCTTTATACCGTGTACGTCACAGAGTGCACTTTTCTTTTATAACATCAACATTGTAATAGCAATATACCGTAGATGTTAGTTCATGTTGACAATCCAATATAAATTAATTGAAAACTCTCCTTTCATGTTGTGAGCACTGCCTATCGCTGGACATCTCTTTTAACAACCTCCTGATTTCCCTGCACATGGTTTACTTTTGATTTGCAGGGACTACATATTCCATATTCCATTGCTACATGCAGGCAGTGATGATGTCACATATGGGGCATTTCCCCTGCTATCTACATTATGTTTAACAGGAGTGGACTAGAACTAATGAAAATTCTATGTGTAAATGTTTATATGATTTTGCATTTTGATCATAAATGCACTTAAAAAGGTTACATTATACAGGACAGCAAAAATACAATGTTGATAAGTGGGTAGCATCCTGGCCTCGGAGTGCTTGTTTCACATTAGAAGACTGTCTGCATGGAGTTTTGTGTGGATTTTCACTCGGTGCTTTGGTTATTTGCTATAAAAAAAAAAGCAAAAGGGAAGGTTATCTGGCTTCTGATCAAATTCTTCATATAAAAGTAAAAGTGTGCTTGTGTAAAGTGTATGTCAGCAATTGTTTGTAATAGTTCTTTGTACTCTAAGTACTTAGTACTATGACAACACTATATACCTGGAACATAGTTTGCACATTCTGTTTCTAATATTAAATATTATTTTCTGCTGACCATAAGTAATACAGCTTGTACATATTTGAACATAAACATTGTTTTTTTGCTTCTAGGAAAGAACAGTAGCAATCAGAAGACAAACTGTGGGAGGATTTGGACTCAGCATAAAGGTACACGTATGTCTGTGTCTTTAAAGTACACAGTGGTGTGTAATATGGAAGGATGATATCCTCATTAATGTGAAGGTCAGACAAAGAACTGTGACACTCTTTGGGCTGAGGTGATGTTCACAAGAAGGCAATCAGCCATGGGAGTTTCTGTAAAACAGTTGACACCAATTTTAGATCCCACAGAGATTGGTGGTCTGACCAGTGGAGTCATATGCATAACACCCTGAATGAAAGTGTGAACCAGAATATGGGAAGTTAATGGTCATTAACTGCTTCCCTGCTGAACACTGAAAAATGGCCTGGCCAGGAAGGGGGTCTAAACACCTGGTCTTGAAGTGGTTAAAGAAAAACTACCAATGCTTGCTTGTACTCAAGGCTAGCATTTGCTTCACTACACTTTGAAGAAATGCCAAAATCTGTGCCAGCAGGAAGAAAAACTGATGAACCTGAAGTGATTTACACCACAAGATATAATCTTTCCAGACATGATTATGTATCTTCCGGGAAGTAGATTTTTGAGATTTTATCATAGTAGGGATCACTGTTGATGACTAAGCTCTACACTTTAATACATGACTTTCAATAGTAAAACTATTAAAGCCAGCATTGGTAAAGCAGGATAGAATATTGGAGCTAGAGGCAATAGTGATGACTTCATTGGCTAGTAGTGTCCTGTGGAAGGAACACATTGGCTTGACCTGTATAAAGAATAATCCCCAGGTACTTGAGGCAAACAAAGACTGTGTCAGCGCCAACAAGCTTCAGACCTCCTCCTGCAGGATATTAATTATTTTCTATTCAGGGGTTGCTCATCACAGAGATTAAGGGATTCTCATCAGCACATGGAAAAGAAACAAACACAGAGCACCACCTCCATGTGAAGGATCATTTATTGAAGAATAACACAAATGGTTAAAATGCACTCACGAGTGTACGTTGAACAACAGTGCAGCAAGATGCATAAACTGCTGTCACGATGCAACCTTTAAGAGGGGATTCCCCTTTAGTCAGACATGCTGCTGTCATCAGCAGGGATGGGCTGTATGTTCGAGTCGAACATAAGTTCGACTCGAACATAAGTTCGACTCGAACATCGCTAGTTCAAGCGTTTGCCGAACGCACAAACTTTGTAGGATGTTCGCGGTCTGTTCGACCGTGCAACATCCCACAAGGCAATGCGCCTTCTTAAGCTCTAATTGGGTAAAGGCTTGCATCTGACCACAGCTCAGGTGCAAGACTTTGCCCAATCAGAGCTCAGTACTCTGTTAGAACCATGATTGGGTAACGTCATGATGACTTTGCCCAATCATGGCTCATAGCTAAGTCCCAGCAGCACACTATATAAGGCTGCTTATACCGCAGCCTTACGTAGTGTGTTGCAGGAGTTCAAATTGAGAGAATCTATATGCAGGGTTCTATATGCAGAGTTCTATATGCAGAGTTCTATATGCAGAGTTGTATACAGCGTTGTATACCAGAGTTGTATACATCGTACAGATCCGCCACTTCACAGGCAGTATATGGGTACCCCCCAGGCATGATATTTGAAGGAATTTTTAATTTTTAATTCTTACCCTTTTAAGTGATGTAAAAATCACTGCTCCTTTAAAAACATTTTATTTTTTTCCTTTCATTGATTCCTGTCCCCTAGTGCAGTACTCGGACTCCCATGCCTTTTTTATGGGCCAATAACTTGCATATAAGCCCTCTTAAAGGGGACAATTGTTTCTGAAAGTTCTACCCCCATTGAGTTGCATTGAGTTCGAGTTCAAATTTGAACTTTTTGGACGTTCGAATGTTCGAATACAAACCGAACTCGGGCCTGTTCCATCACTAGTCATCAGTCCCTCCTGACTTGCCTCAACGCTGTGTCCCGGTGGTTGATGCGTTTTTAAGGGGCATGCCCCCTTCATCAGAACCTTCATTCTAGCCCTGCCAGAGACTTGGATTTAAGATTGAAAATGAGCCAATCCGGGTACATCATCCCCTGACGTGGCGTGTTGATTTGCTTAATAGCCTCTGCTTTTCTATATGCTCACATGAACTATCAAAACAAACCTGCCCTCTTATTTTTGCTGAGAGGAGTCTAAGCCTCTTGTTGGTAATCTAGGTAACATTACAGCCATCATAAGCTGTTGACTAACTGAGCAAACTGAAAACACCATGGAAAGTATACATGGAACATGGGCAGCACAGCGGGATTCAAACAAAGCACAGCCATAAGTTCATGAGATCGAACATTAATCTAGCTATTTTCTTCTCTCTTTTTTAAGTTGACCCTGGCAGTAGCCATATGTGGGTTACCAAAAAGATAACCTAGAACAAGATAACCTAACAAGACTTAAAAGACTTTAAAAATATAGATGCATTAAATTGGTTAAAATTTATCAGGGCGTCATTTATCATGATTGATGGTGGATATACATTGCTGGATGGTTTGATTGATATAGTATTTACATCGTTTCTAAACAAAACTGTTTATTTAGTGTTTTTTTCTTGTAAATGAGTAACAAGGGGTAACATACAGTATATTCCTTACTAATTCAAGCGAGAGTACTGGATAGCTTCCAGATTCTGATACATTTCATCCGCAGACCCCCATATCCACTGGGCCCAGGATGTGGGGATGAGGCCCTTGTCCCTGTAAGCATGGCCTCCCTGGCAAAAAACCTCTCCATGTTGGGTATGGTTAGACCAGGGGTAGCCAAACTCCGGCCCTCCAGCTGTGATGGAACTACAAATCCCATGTGGCATTGCAAGATTCTCAAAGCTACAGACATGACTCCCAGAGAGAGATGCATCATGGGATTTGTAGTTTCACCACAGCTGGAGGGCCGGAGTTTGGCTACCCCT